CACATTCAGAACAACGGAAACACGGCATTTTATTCCACAATTATTGACAGAAAAATGAACAATCAAAATGTAGTAGCCCTCCGCACTGATGCAGTTAGAAGCTATTATTTCACAATAAATATGATCCAAGTCCACTGTTTGGAGAATTAACAACTTTAGGTATAGTCTAAGTAAACTGTATTGTGAATAGTTAAAGCTGTCGGCGAGCTCAAAGGCCAAAAAACCAATACAAAGAAATGATGCTGCTGCCAACTAGTCCACGTGGACTGAAGAATTGGCGGTTCGTATTGGATGATTTTACTAACCGAGTTTTATGATTGGCTGAAGAGTCATAAAATTTATACCCGGCGTGTTGTCAGTTCAGGAACTGATTGCGATTTGAGTGTTGAAATTCGATGTTGGTGCAGTTATAATTACTTAAAAGTTTTGTTATCTGTTTAAACTGTGGCGTCCTGGGACATGTACTAATAATAATAATGAGTGTGATAACAACGCAGACTGTTTCCTGTATAGTGATTCCAATAGCGATGGTGAACAATGCGAAAAAGAGATACCAGTGAATAAGATTCGGATGCATTTGAATACTGAAACACAGAGAGTATGCTTCAATGTATAAAAGAATCTACGTCTCAAGTTTGGTTTCGAGGGAAACAAACTATTACAAGCAATATCAGATTTGATCGAAATTCCTTTCTCGACTGTACGATAGTCAAAAACAAACCTTATGAACGCGATGTGATACGGGATCACCAAAACCTTTAGATGTTCATCTAATAAAATCATTGAAAAAACAATATACGATTGTTACAAAAGCAATGAGATTCCTACAACTGAAATCATGAGGAAGAAATTGTATACTTCCAGCCATAACGTGAGCTGCTGTAACAAAACTCTTCAGAATTGGATAAAGAAACTAGGATTTAGATTCAAAGTAATAAACAAACGTCAAGCAGTTATGGAAGCAGAATAATAGCGGAAGTGCTTAACAAATACTAAGAACAAATAACTAAATACAGACAAGAACAACGGCAAATTTTCTATTTGGACGAAACTTGGTATGACACTCACAACACAGTTACGAAAGGGTGGACTGATGGTTCGAGAATGTGAACGCCTAACATGCCTGCAAACAAAGGATGCGAATAGTGTAATAGTTCGCGACAGCTGATCAAAGTACCAAATAAAAATTCGAGGAAAGATGAAATACAAAGTTTTTTAATGGATAACAATTTGTATTTTGAAGATAACTATACCAAAAACCAACTACTTGAAGTTTTACAGACAAAAACATTTGAGAGTTTTGCTGAAAAGTATGGACACACCATACTGAGACTTCCCCCTATTTTTGTTTTCAATCCCATCGAGTCGATTTAGGGAGAATTGAAACAAAGCATCAGGCGTAAAAATAATTTTCCAAAATTTGAAAAGAAGGTATTAGAGCTAGTTAAAGAAAAAGTATATATTACCGAAGAAGACTGGCAGAAAAGTATTGAAAAGGTAATTTTAGTTGAAAAAGACTATATGGAAATTGGACATTTCCATATTAATGGTGGAAATAAATTCATTATTGACTTAAATGACGACAGTGATAGTGAAACAGAGAATATGGAAGAGGAATTATCAGAAGCTTTCGAAGAAAGATAGTGAAGTGTTTTTGAAGCGATCGATTTCATACACTATATTGTTTACTTGAACTATACGTATTTTTATTTGTCAAAGTTTTATCATTAATGCAGAGTTTATCTAGATTCAGTACCTTTGATCCGTTACTTCATCTATGTGAAGTACAACCGCGTAGATCGTTTACAACGATAGTTTTTCTACTTTTAGCGTTTTCGTCCCTGTCATAACTTTCAAAGGAATAATCCAATTCGAACAATTTGGATAATTTACGTGACATAATCAACAACATTATGGTGTGTGAAAACTATTTTGTATAACAATAAGTTGGATAAGGATCAATATCCTGACAATAATTATTTTTTCACTTGTTTTCATTGACAAATTTAAGATTGAATCAAGGTGACTTTGTCTCTTCACTTCTCTCTCTTCCTCTCTTTCTTTTGGTTCATTTTGAAATCTTCTGTGACCAAAATATTTCTGAAAATGACGATGTTTTCATTTAATTTCAATAATTCGACATGGAAATTACTGATTCATTGCAAAACTACAGAATAACTTTCTCCTCCTTCCTTCCTTCCTTTCTTCCTTCTTTTCTCCCTTCCTTTCTTCCTTCCTTTTTTCCTTCCTTGCTTCCTTCCTTCCTTGCTTTCCTCCTTTCTTGTTTCCTCCCTTCCTTTCTTCCTTCCTTTTTGTTCCCTCCCTTCTTTTCTTCTTTCCTTTCTTCCTATATTCTTTCTTTTCTTTCTGCCTTATTTTTTGCTTCCTTCTTTCCTTCCTTTTTGCCTTCCTTTTTTCTTCCTTCTTTCCTTCCTTTTTGACTTCTTTTTTGCCTTCCTTTTTTCTTCCTTCTTTCCTTCCTTACTTCCTTCCCACCTTCCTTCATTCCTTTCTTTCTTCCTTCCTTTTTTTCCTCCTTCCTTTATTCCTTCCTTCCTGCCTTCCTTCCATCCTTCCTTTCTTCCTTCCTCCTTCATTTCTTCCTATCTTCCTTTCAATAAAACTGTTTTTTTCTCCTAGGGTTGCGAACCAGTAGCTGCTTTTCTGAGTTCCAGCAAAAGCAGAGGTAACATTCAACGTATTTATGCATATTTAGTATTTATACCTCACTTTTCTCATAAATTATATCTAGGATTTAATTTCTTCTAGTCCTGAATCACTGTGACTTCATGTCAACAGTAACATTCCTACGTTGAAGTCCGATCTAATGAAAACCATAAATAAAATCGGAAACAATAGTCAATAAAAGCGATAATGAGCGTAGGATTGTTGAAAGATTGAATAGTTTTCAATATAAATCGATTAAATTGTTTACAATTCCTTCGCTGCTTTTGACGAATGATGTGTAAAGTTGTCGTCGAATTCTATGAAACGTGTGGGAGGCTGTTATTCAAGAAATAATGTGATCAATTAGAAAGCTGCACATTCGTCGGTTTAAAAATCGTTTCTGTTTTTTTACTATGTGTATTTTTCACGACACATTTCATATATTCTCAAACAGTTTCAAGAGTAACTGATCCTGATGAAATTATTGATATTAATAGAATTGGTAGTCAGCTAAACGGCGCGTTGATTTTACTGCTGATCATACTGCTGCATAAATAGAAACCTATCACCAACACACCAGAACTGGAATACATTTCAGCAATAAAGTTGGGGCCGTCACCATGAAGATGGAAAATGACGACTCTATAAATTTTTTGGATTCGACAATAACGAAAGTTAACAATAAACATGCTTTTTCAATTCATCGTGAACCACCACATACAGATATTATCATTCATAATTCATCCACCCACCCGTATCAGCACAAAGAAGCAGTGTTCAACAGTATGATCCACAGACTGATAAAGGTGCCCTTGTCAGATGCGAATTTCAATAAAGAACTGAACATAAAAAAACAAATAGCCGTCAACAATGATTACTTCAACAGTCTAATACATTCTCTATTATCAAAAAAGTTTTATAGCCAAGCTTTGAAGGAAATTTACCCAAATCGAAGACATGAGGATACAAGTTATAGAATCTTAACCTACTTAGGCCAACCCACTACGAATATTTTTAATTTTCTGCACAACGAAGGTGTTAATATTGCTTTCAAAAGCAACAATAACTTAGGCATTCACAATAAGGATAATAAAATTCAGTTTCACAAAAATCGGGTGTGTATAAATGCTCATGTGAGTCATGTTAGATGTTTTATATAGGTCAAACTGGGAGAACGTTCAAAGCCCGCATGAAAGAACACAGAAATAGTTTTCAGAATGGAAAAATGAAGTCCACATATGCAACTCATTTGATCACAGAGGGACATGAGATCAACCACGAATTCGGGCCCCTCCATTTCCAGAAGAAAGGTTTAAAACTTAACCTGTTGGAGAGTATGAAAATAAACAAGTATAAAAACTTTCAATATTTTATGAACGATCAAACTGAACTGAATAATTCGCCATAATTGAATTTTTATGTCCAGGTGGAAAAAGTTGAGTTTTATTACGGTACTTTCGAAAATTTTATTTATTCATATAGTTAGTCTCATTCATTAGAAAGTAGGCATACAAGTAGGTAATATGTCAGAGTGTAAAATAGTTGTAATTTAGAAATAACTTATTATTTTACGCTTGAGAAAGCTATTTTATTGCGAAACACATGTCGCGGTTTTTGTAAAACGCTTTATAGTGAAAATCATGCATTAAATCACACGTTAAAAGGTAAGACCTCGTTAATCCTTAGCTCACACAAGTTTCGACTTCTAAGGGTTGTCGTTCGTAGGGGTGCGACAGCTGGTTAACGGAAAAACAGATCAAAAAACAGATTGAAACTAAAGTCTACGGTGAATCAGATGATTCTTATTAATAGTTACTATGCATTGATTTACTCCCGTTTGGCTCATAATGTTATTTTATGTGGGATTGTGTGAATTCTGGAAGAGCGTTCATATGTCAAAAGTGCATTATCCATCTCATTTTTGATATAATAAATGGAAAGCCGCTTCTTAAAAGTACAATACAGTTCCCTGTATATATCTATATAGATTATCAATATATGTAAAGCCACGTACTGATAAATTCACGAAAAACTCGAATAACCATCCATATTGTTGTAAATCAAGCCCGAAAGAAAATAACGCCGGCCGCCACTGGTAGCTATGAACCAATGGTGACGTAGCTGAGAGCGCGCGAATGTACGACGATTCCCCGCCACTCCAGAAGCAGCTAGAATAATGCTATCGATTTCGACGGAATTTCGGCGGAATTTTCTAGCGCATTTGATTACGATATATAAACGCTAGCCTCGAACATATCGAGACAGTCAAGTGGAAGATAGACATTCAAATAATAGTTGAAGTTTTAGTTGTAGTGTTTAAAGTGAAATAAAGCTGAGTCCTTCAATGTATTTTATTTTTGTTAAATCAATATCATCTTCAACTTTCAAACCACAATTGAAGCACCTCCATTATGGTCAGCTTTTCTTCAATTTCAGACTCCTACCCCGCCTGAAGCATATCCTATAACACAGTACAACACTCATCACTAATATGAGAGTAGTGATGATGCAGGCGATGACCACAATCAGGATAACATCCAGTAGGTACATCTGGTAACTTGGTACTTCTCCAACCCCACTTCTGAAATGTTGCGCCCCTTTCGTTCTGATGCAATATTCCGTCCACCATACCGCCTTCTCCAAGCCAGTCTTTTCCACGTCTTTCATCAATTTAGAGAGCTCCACGACGTTTTTCTTGTAGCTGAAACACAAGTCATAATGATGATGAAGAGAACCCTAGTGGTACCTTACATAGGATTGCTGATAACTTCCATGATGGTTTCAGTAAACGAGTCCTTTGTTAGATTCATGATATCAACTGTTAGCCCCAGTCCCTTCTTCTCCAGAGTTTTGGCATTGCCTGGCTGATCCCACATGAAAGGCATTCCCACCATGGGTACTTCGTTGAAGATGCCTTCCTCCAAAGACTGGAGACCACATTGGGTTATGAATAGCTTGATTCTGGAATCCGCTAGAAAAAATCAGCGATGAAAATATGAAGACTAAATGTTGTTTTCTCGAAGAGGCTATTTTTTTTGTAAAAATACATTGTTTGCGGTAAAATAGTTTGTGGTTGAAACTTGTAATACTTTATTGTACCCATTCAAAGAAATTATTTTGATTACTTCAGCAATTTTAGGAAAAAACACCGCTTGGTAGAGAAGCCATCCCTAATCTATTAGAATATTTGAAGAAATTGAAGGAACACAAGGTCAACAGTGATATTTGAAGCCTCCACTACATCAGAAACTGTCTGTAATCTGTAGAGCAGGAAAGGGGAGGGTAGGCCCACAGTACTTCGGCCACATATGACTCATTGTACATCCTCCCGAGGAGTTGTCTTCCTAGGTCATCGTGCAGCCTGTTTTTTCCTGGACAGTCCTTTCCAGAACAACACCAGAGTTTCACCGATATGTTGAAGAAAACCGCTAAACGAGAAAGAATTTGAAACCATAACAATCACCATATATTGCCCGGATTATTACTACTTTCTGCTGGAATACTCATTCATTCAAGATAATTCAATGGTGAATTTAACTAGTTTGGACTTCCATTGTCTAATCTGATTCTCATGCGATCCGAAATCTATGAAAGAACTAATGAAATTAGAATGAAAAGCTGGAATATCAAGTATATACAGGGTGTAACTAAATAAGTGTGAAACATTTGAGGAGGTGATTCCTCATCGAAAAAAAAAGGATGTTTCATATAAAGAAATTTCATTGGAGCATCCTTTGTTAAGATACAGCCCCTTAGAGGGGGTACATAAAATGTGTATAACAATTTTTTTCACAAGCACTAAAAAAGTTACAATATTGGAATTAACCTGATGTTTTGTACTACCAAAAAGACACTCAGTCAGAAATTTATTTGGTTTACCCCATGGTTGTAAGGGGTGGAAAACGCAACCCCTAAAATTTATTTCCAATGATTAGAAGAAATTGTGACTTTCTGAAGACGATAGAATTCACAGACGAATGTAGTTTTTCTCGGGACAAGATTATTAATTTTCATAATTACCACATATGGGCTGATGAAAACCCTCACGCTATTGTCGAAACTAACCATCAAGAACAGTTTTCTCTTAACGTGTGGCTCGGAGTTATTGGGGATGATTTAATTGGGCCTCATTTTCTACTTCCTCGATTAAATGGTGAGGCATACGTTCAATTTTTAAGAGAAGTGCATCCAGTACTGCTGGATGAAGTTCTTTTGGGCGTCAGAAGGGTATGTTTTTATGCATGATGGGGCTTCCGCCCATTTTAGTCAAGTAGCACGCCAGCATTCAACTGAAACGTATGCAAATCAGTGGATAAGTCGAGGAGGACCACAGAACTGGCCCGCTCGATTCCCGGATCTCAATCCTCTCGATTTCTCTATTTCGGGCCATTTACAGCATTTGGTTTATCGTACTCCTGTTCGCGATGTAGAGGACTTAAGAAACCGCATCATCGATGTGTGCAGATAATCAGAGAGACTCCAGGAATATTTGAGCGAATACGTGGCTCAATGCGCCGACGTCTAGACGCATGCGTAATGTCTGAAGGTAGACATATTAAATAAAACCTGAAAAAAAAATAAATCAAAAAGATTTCACACCAAGTTACTTCACGACGTTTCGATTGTTAGTATGTATAATAGTCTTCGGGTGATGGACTGGAATACTCCTTCGAGAGATGACTATTTATTGGTCATTAGAGCTGTTTCACCTATTCCCTTTTCCTCTCTCTGCTTCACCGATTCAACTGTAGTTGACCGTTTCTTGCTTGATGACAGGTTTCCATATGTTGCGTATCTGTACGCTAGCTTGGCTGAATGCGTCGTTTGACAATATATATGCAGCTTCTTTGAACTTCCTCTTGAACCAGTGATCATTCCTGTGGATTATCTCAGCTTGAGCCCACATGATGTTATGTTGATGAGTCTAAACATGCTCTGCTGTTCCTGACATGCTGGTTTCTCCTTGCTGTGTGCTTGGCATTTGAAAAAATCAGTTCCGTACACATCATTCTAGTAAATCCATAATTACTTCCATAGGTTCCATAGGTCTTCCAGGTCCTCGTTTTCGGATAGCTTCCTCAAGGCATGTTGTCGAATTACTACAGGCAATCAAATTCACATTAGTAACCCATCAACATAACATCAAGTGGTATCAAGCTGAGATCATCCACAGGGGGGAACACTGGTTCAAGAGGAAGTTCAAAGAAGTTGCATATTTGACCTATAAATGGTTATCCTGATACTAACAATCAAAACTTCGTGAAGTTACTCTCTGTTATTTTTATTTTCATTTCAAGGTTTCGTTTATTTTTTATCAGACAGATCAGGTGAAAAAATAAAACCCAAAAACCAGTCCAAAGAGCTTATCACAGACATCCGTCAAACACGTCTGAATATACAAACAAAACTTTCCCTAGATTGAAGTCATCCTTGAGGCTACCCATGAGTTCAGGGGAAAATCAAACCACGTACCACACATTGAACAAAACTTACATTTTCATTGAATCATACCTAACAGATCTCTCTGAGGAGCCCATTTTATAATCTTCACATTCTCGGGGAGATCCTGCAAACTGGATTCGAATTTCCATAGGATTTTGTAGGGCAAGGCAGCGAAAGTTGACACAATGACATCCAGGAGATTTCCAGTCAATCGAGAACTTTTGACGTTGGACCCTAGACTGAAGTAGATAACGCCCTGGTTTCCACTGCTGTCCAAATAGTCTTGCAGTTCCTGGAATAATTGGGTTTCAGATCTGGTGTGCGAGAAGGTCATCAAAAATATGCCTCCAATGATTTTATTCACAGCAGAGTTACGCTACAACCTACTTCAGGCAAGGGCTTGACCTCCCCTATATGCATCCCTCCACCCAAGTAGATTGTGTTCATTCCTACCGGCCTAGTCTGCTGCAAGGCGGGATTGACATTGATGAAGAGAAAGCTCATCTCCCTCTCTATCTGCTGTAGATCCCTGATGCTCCCGAAGTGTTTCCTGGCGATAGCCGTTTCTTGCGGATACCTCCAGTGGTACTGGTAGTACCAGGTGATCGTGTTGAAGGCTACGCTAGCGAGGCGCTGCTTGAGGTTCAGTGGAGGGGAAAAGGGTAGATAGGGTTCGGGAAATATGACTGGATGTACGTAGTTTCCAAGTACTGTGTAGATTCTGATGGGTGCTTCTTGTGGTGACACACCGATGAAAGGTACATTGAATCTGAAACGGAAAGGAGTCTCATGTGAACACAGTTTGAAAAGGAATATTTCAAATGTTCTTCAGCATATAAATAATGCCTTCTCAGGCTGAGTTTTAGTCACCTAGAACACTCTTTGGAAAAGAATCTACAAAGGATTTGTGGGGTATCTTTGAACGCAAGAGACCTCTCTACATCTTTCGGAGTGAGAAAGGCTAGATGGATAACATACAGAATGGAACCAACATACAGTGTGTCTCACTTCACATGGAAACGGTTGGTTACGCTATCGGTGATAACACCTAACCTAACCTAACCTAACCTTCGACTTTGCGTTATCACCGATACCGTAACCAACCGAACAAACTGGTCATGTGACAAATTTCTACGCTCTCATTGGCTGGTGTCACAGAATCTGCTTTGGTGATCTACTTTTATCTCATAAAAAGACTTAGAAAGTTCTGTGTTCTAAGAATTAGTCCAGTATAAAGACGTCAACCAAAAGTCTGGTCCAGCTTACACAAGCCTATACAGTGTGTCTCACTTCTCATGGAAACACCCCCGTATCTTCCGTAATATTCGAGGTAGAACGATGAAACTCTCAGGACTGATGGAAATACTCAAAATGCACCTGCCACCTGAATGAGGTTGGCCAAAGTAATATACACTGTCCGCCACTCGCGATGGAACACCCCATTTTTAGGTAGAACATATTACGGCGCAGAATAGTTCGCTTCCAATACCTGAACCCCTTCTACCACGAAGCTACTGATAATGAATATTTGAGTAGAAGTTGGAAAATATTGATAATCTTATGGTCAAAAAACGTCAAAACTGAAATTTTGATACTTGTTTAAACTCTTCAATGTGTTCCAATTGCATAGCATTTGTCGTTGTCAGGTAGATGTTTTTAATGCCATTTTCAAAACTTATTGTGGTTTTTGCCAGCAATCAAGTGGTAACCTGTTATGTGAACTCTTGTTGACTTTCGAAATTACGTATACAGGCTGATTCACGGTGGATGGCACATTAGACGTTTCTGGTGAACCAGACAACGGATCACTTTGAAAATTTAATGGAGGGCATATTCGGACATTCTCTAGCCAACTAAAATATTTTCGACAATGCGGTGTTGCCGCTTCTATTAGAAAGCAGTAGCAACTTTGATTTTTCAAATG